ACAGTACAGTACTTCAAAAAAATGATAATTGTTACATAGATTAAAAATGGCAATTAACTATCAATTAAAAATTAATAAAATATATTTTTAAAACACTAACCAAGATATTTTTAGAGCCTGAACTATACCTGTTAAACCAAAAAAAGGTGAGGAATTGTTAAATATTAATCCATGCAAACAGAACTGGATTAACAGCACAAGAAACACTACAAGCAACACACATCAAGCTAAGGCAAAAGACCCTCATGCAAAATACTGTACAGAGAAGCAAAAAGAAAGACAAAAATAAGTAAGGAATACAAATACACCTGTCACCTGTGAAGTGTTGAAGAATACAAGTTATAAAGAGAAAAGACTAAACAAGAGTTACATGATGGAACAACCCCAAAACTCAGGATAAAACTTTCCTTTGGTCTAAATTATGATAAATATTTGCAGTATTGTTCTTATTTATTTCTTGCACAGTTTTACCATTGTGTCTGCCAGTGTGGCAAGTTAACAGTGGACCAACTGGCCGGTAACATAACATGAATGGCCTTCTGCAGTTTCTAATGCCAAATAAATGGTAATTTACCATTTCCTAATGAACAATATACCAAAATGTGCTGTATGAACACAATCCAAAGTGTGAATCTTTATATTGACCATGGAATTTTGGAATTTAAGACTGACAAATGATGCAAATGCATTTCTCATTAATTTGTTGCATATATTTTTCTAGTAGTAAGACATTAAGCTTCTTATCAATGTGTTATGCAACATTTAGATGAACTGCATCCAGTACTGCACACTTAATAACAGGCACAGTACAAATATTCTCCACTCCATTTACAGTGATTTAAATAAAGTATCATCTGTGGAGTCTCATAAGATTAAAATATGTAAGACAACAGATTTTCTTAGAATAATTGCAAGTTAACATGCATATACAGGTTGTACCTCTCCAGTCCAGCATTCTGTGGTCCGCAAACTCCAGTGCTTTGGCACGATTTTAGTTTTTCCAATAGGTAGATAAGCAGCTTTTTTTTCTGCATTATTATTATTATTATTACAGGAGTATTAAATTTTTGCCCCTCAGGCCCCAATGTGGGTCAGTGACCTTATGCCCGGGTGGGCTAATCCCCATAAAAAAAAACAACAACAAAGCCGCGGGAAATTAAGGTTTGTTTACATCCGGCAGTTCGGCTGCTATCTCTCTCTCTCTGCTTGTCTATACAGAGTACAACATTTAACCCTTCAATATATATGAGCAGTAAATAAGTGTTGCTTTCATACTCTTATGTAGAGTAATGACAATATGTTTCACAAGTGCGCACTTACATACGCGCAGTCTAATGTTTTTTCTTTACCATTAATGGTTAGCTACTTATATTGTTCCATTTACAGGGTACTACATTAAATAACATTACTTCAAACAAGCATATTAATTTTTTTACATTAATTTTACTACATCTACAATCAGGGTCTTATTTCCTTCAGTTTTATATGTAGAACCAATCAGTCACTGGTTTTGTAAGCATTAATGAAAACAATGCCGGCAGCCGTCTCGTCTCCTCGTGTTATTCCAAGTATTATTAATGAATTGTATTGTTCATTTTGCACACACAAACATTAATTCAATAAAAAAAATCAGAAACATTAATTAAAATATATATGAACGGTAAATTAGTGTTGCTTTCATATTCTTATATAGAGTAATGACGATATGTTTTTACATGTGCGCACTTACATACGCGATCTCTCTTTTTTCTTTACCATTATCGTTAGCTATTTCTATTGTTCCATTTATTAACATTAAATAACATTACTTAAAACAACCATATTAATTTTACTAAAACTACAACCAGGGTCTTATTTTCTTCAGTTTTATATGTAGAACCAGTCAGTCACTGGTTTCGTAATCAACGAAAACAATGCTGTCTCATTTCCTTGTGTGTTTTAATATTCTACGTATTATTAATGAATTGTATTGCCCATTTTGCACACAAACATTAATTCAATCAAAAAGACATTCAGTAATAAACAATAATGAATCTTTTGTACAAAAGAGAAATGATGCTGTTTACATGATTGTGCACGTCGTCTGAACGTTGGTGGGCCGTTCAAACACGTCGAAACTCGAGTTTCCGCCGTCAAAATTTTAAACTGTTTTGTTTTTTTGTGTGTTCAAATAAAAAACGTTGAATTAAAAACTCGCGAAATTTGAGAAGCTACTGTATGACATTTAACCCTTCAATATGTCTTCAAAGAGACCATGAAGCAGAGAAAGTGGTGCTAGTGCTTCCAAGCATAAGCACAAGTCACTATCTATCCAGGAAAAGGGTGAAATTCCATGGTCCGGAAATTTCCATGGTCCGGCACCGGTCAGGTCCCGAGGTTGCCGGACTAAATGGTACAACCTGTACCTGTATTGTATAATTCTAGGTACTGTATTAGGCCATTACTGCAATAGTTCTGGACAGGTTAATTATATAAGACATCTGTCTCCACTGTTATTCATGTACAGTTACAAGCTAGTTGTCAACTTGCACCATGTAACAAAAATAATTTGAAATGCATTAAAACTTAATTTTTGAGGGATTACACTATGCTGGAATTGTAAATCAATGACATGTTATATTATTAGTAAAGAGAATGTTAGTGCAGTGAGTAAGTTCTCCACAACTTGTGAGACATTAAGAATAAAATAGTTCCCAGTTCTCCACCAATCTCAGAGCATGTACTCTATCTTATTAATCTTATGCATCTGCAGGTAATACAAGCTAATGTACTTATCTCTAGACCAGTGTTGTGTAGATGAGTTATTACTCTGTTGACCAGTATTGTGTAGAGGATAGTTATTACAGTGTTGTGTAGATGATAGTTATTACAGTGTTGTGTACATGATAGTTATTAGTGTTGTGTAGATGATAGTTATTAGTGTTGTGTAGATGATAGTTATTACAGCCTCTGATTGTGAATGAATGCACAAGCCTGTACTGTGCTTCTTATGCTGTAACATTATATAGTAGTTAGCACAGTTTAGTCATCAGTATGTTAGTTATCATACTGCACTTCATGAGAGAGCTTTCTCATTTATTTCCAATGTGTACTGTATACATATATAAATCTAGAGAGCACTGGATATAACATGTACAGTTTAAATATTTGTAGATTTGATTATGTATAGGACTGTTAGAGAGGGTCTTCTCACAACTCTTCAACTTACTCTAACCTCACACTGTTGCAGAACTTAGGAAGAAAAAAGCATTTGAAGAAGAGAAAGAAGTTATACGCTAAAACCCCTTTTTATTTTTACTCTCTCCCAACAACACTCCTGCAACTAGCAACACACAATTACCTGTTGGCGTGACTTGTGGTGGGCCGAGGCAGCAACAACCTCTTCCCATGGGCCTGCTATTAGGGCCTCTGGAGGGCTTACATTGGCTAATATCACAAGGCTTCTGGGACTGGCTCATTCTAACTTCTCTGTTGCACTCAGGGTTATAATTTAGTCTTCTTGGATATTTTATCTTTACACTAAAAGGCTTCTGTGTTTCTTTTTACAAATGATAACTATATATACATATAGTGTTTATATTACATAGATACAACATAAGCAAGGAGGTTATGCAGCTTTGTAGTTAAAAATATTTACTAGCACTAATAACTGTAATCAACATCAAAGGGGAAACTGTACAATCTAGATACACCATTAAAGTTTTTTATACATTAACAACTAATAAAAATTTCTTGGCACAATAATCACTCTTTATGGAGATAGGAATTGACTTAAAAAACTATAACTGCTGCTGTCTCTGCACATTTTACAGTAACCACTCGCTCCTAAACAAGCATTTTGTGCACGTAAATAAATAATAGGCAAAGTGAACGTGCCAAAGCTTTGGGTACAGCTTTGCTTATTTCTTCCTACAAAAGGCTTTGAAGAAATTCAGATCCAAGAGCCAGAGCCATCACCATAACTACCATGACCCATGTTGGGATCGTCTGGGGGAAGAGCAACAAACAACCAAACATAAGAAAACGATCCAATGTGCCTCAGCATACCCAGTGTTTCAGTGAAAGACAGATTCTTCATTATGTGTGAAAAAAAAAGTCCCTCTTGTAGGTAGTCATTCCTCACTTCTTCACTTTGCTTGTTCAGAAGGAAATGCAAATAAAAGTAAGACAAACTTTACTAAAAGCTTTGTGAAGAACATCCAAAAGCAAGCTTTCATTACTTAGACTGTCTCCTGTTATCTAAGATAACACTTCTTCTTAACAAGCAAGGTGAAAAACAACAGGAACAAAACAAGGAAATTACTTAATCTCATCTTTCAGCGATCCACAAAAAGTATTTCCAGTCTTGCAAGTGATACAGCCAAGAGGCAAATTTCTCTTAACAGCTTCCTGCAGTAGAGGATTACCATAAAAGAATTTGGCTTCAAAGTTTTTCTTTGATTTTGTTCCTAAATAAGGATCTGATTGAGTCTGTATCACCAAAAATCTATCTTTTTACTTTTGCATCTACCACACTCGGTATACTGTATATATGGCATAACACTTGCAAGGATGTGATTGGCAGTCATGCTGAGGCAAGTGGGCAAAACAAAAGAAGTAAAGTCCCCTTATTGTTATATTCGAGATGAAGGGGGAAGCCTGAACATAGAACTCAGACTAAAAAACCAATCAGTGCTGATTCAATTTAATAAACATGCAAAAGATGTTTTAAGAGAAGATGTAGAAACTTATATTTGATTATAAGACAGTAAACAATAAGAAGACTTCCTATTATACATAATATACATAGCAAAAAAGAACTTCTGAATAAGATTGAAATTAATGTAATTGCTAAAACAAAGGGAAAAATATTCAAGTGCAGAACTTCTTCAGTTCTCTAAGTATTAAAAAGTGACAAAACAAAATATATGAACAAAATTTACATATTACAATTAATGAACTATATATAGATACAGGAAACATCATAAACACTCAAAGCTAAACAAAGATATAAAACATACCATCCTGTTTTGTACCGCCAGTAGCTGGTAATCTTCATCCACCAGGCCAAGCTTATTCCGTAACTGATTCCGTTCATCCCTTAATGACGCCAACTCCTCTTGGAGACTCCCGAACTTGTCCAACACCACTGAGCCATCCTGCAAGATATAAGTAATTATTTGACTTTTTTGCACAATCTGGAGCACCTCTACCATCCCATTTACCTGAGAATGTAGTAAGACACCTGGATCCACAGATAAGATGTAGAGAAAGTACAAGGTGAAGACTGATATCAGATTTCTCAATAAAGGATATTCCCAATAAAAAAACATCTTTTTGTCCAGTAAATTGGCAGATTCAGCCGATAACGTACAGCATTGAGAACAATGTTCGCTATTGAACACAAGTAAAGCTCATAAAATTTCTCTAAACAAATACAAAAGAGATGGTACTCATTGAAGTACAGTAGTGCAAAACTTTGACACAGAAACTCTATGACCAAGTATATGATATTCTTAATGCTCAAGTGTACCATAGAATATGTACATTTTGATGCTCTGGAAATGTACAGGTTGGGTATCCCTAATCCAAAATTCTGAAATGCTCTGAAATCCTAAAGTATTTCATTATATTTATGGTAGATAATACACTGAATATGGAAATATCATAATTTTTACTAGGGTAAGTATGTATATGTAATGAATAAAGGTAAGACACAGGCTGCTTAGCACCTCAGTCAGGTGTCATGGCGATGCCAAACAGACGGTAGTGATTGCTTAACTTTCTGGGTCTTCAGTGTACATCTTATCATATATTATACCCAAAATTATTAAATTATATTTCATAAAACTACCTGCAGAATATATGTATCCATATGATGTAAATACAATATAAATTAATTTTGTGCATAGACTTAGGATCCCGCTTCCTCTATCAAGGAATAAACAATTTAAATTTAAACTGAATTGGCTTGGGCCCCATCCCTGCTGGGTGAGCTACCGCATTGTACAGGTTCTGTATACAGGAAATAGGTATTCCCAAATCCAAGACCCTTAAGGCCCCAAACATTTGGGATGAAGAATACTCAACCTGTATGTGAAATTTGTTTTGTATCATTTTATGTATACACACAAAAAAATAGCCCTCCCATTAGGGGAATCCTCTCAATAAAGGTACAGGGGTTGCATGAATTAGTCTGATACAGTATTGGGAGGGTTCATGAGATTAGTGAGAGAGATATGGAAGCCAAGAAATATGAACAAATGAAAAGACTGGACAAATAGGAGAGAATGAAAGTAAAGATACGGAAGTGACAATAAATATGAGAAGGGAATATAAGTACCCGGTACAGGGGGTACCCGGGTTACGAATGGGTTCCATTCCTGAGGACGTTCTTAAGTCAGATTTGTATGTAAGTCGGAACGCATGCTATGTAAGTACCATAATTATTATTATTATTATTATTATTATTATTATTTTTTTATTTATTTATTTTTTTTTTTTTTTTTAATACGGGGAATAGCCCACCCGGGCACAGGTCATCGACCCAGAATGGGGACGAGGGGGCAAAAAATAAGAATCAGAAGAAATTAAAAATAGAAAAGAAAAAGATTACATTAATCTACACCACGAAGATGCCGGAAAACCAGCTTTTTGAAGCGAGACAGATTGTATGAGTACGGAAAAGCAGAAGAAGGCAGAGCATTCCACAGTTTGGCTGTGTGAGGAAAGAAGGATGTACTATAACGAGTTATTCTAGTGTGACCGACAGCCACAGAGAACGGTGAGCACCGCAGGCAAGACAAGTGTTTAAATTCCCATTACGTATATCATAGCCTAAGTCCTTATATACATCTAAAATCACTTAATTTAGGACAAAAGAAATAGAATGACAAAACACAGTAAACGAAAGTAAAAAATAAGTCCGGTCATTGCCACATTTGACAGGTTATCTATTCAGTAATATAAATTCATATGATCAGCTTCTTATGGTGTGTGATTCATCATGATTAATATAACATCTTCAATAATAGAAAATAATAAAATAATAATAAAGTATATAATTTGTAATATGACTTGAAAATAAAAATATAAGATGTATCAGACGGTATTCACTCAGGATGCATTCCTGGAGAGAGAGAGAACTTTTAGCAAATCGGCTTACAACAAGGTCCCAATAACATACTGTATAGTATTTGATATGGAGATACCTTCCTAAGAAAGTTATTTATTACCTTGGAATCATACATAGTGGCTCAATTTGGCTACTTGTACATTTTGACAGCTGATCAATGAATAAAGCAGGGAATATGCAGATGCGTAATACACTGCAATATTATTTACTATGTGCTACAATATTGTTTATTAATCCATAAAGCCTGGCTGATGTTCCTCTATGTCCTTAATTTTCATAGCATAGTTTGTATAGGATATTTATTTACTTGGCAACTCAAGTCACACATAATCTGTCTCAAGTTTCGTGGTCCAGTTACCCACCAGCTATCCTTCAACGTCTCATGACCCACCTCGCTCCTCCACACCCAAGCCAAGGTATTTGCTCAACAGTAGTGCTATACATTAAGAGTGGCTTGATTTGAGTGGCATTGATATAGTGTCGGGCGATGAAGACAGTGAGGGGAAAGAAACAGACCCAGATGATGTAGAGTTTGTTTAGGTGGCCAGCAGTGAGGACAGTGATATAAACAATGGTGCTCACTCATTCCAACCCAGCAAGGTTGTATTCGTGGGTGCTGTGGACGTAGGGGACCACATGCATGCCAGCCACAACAGTACGCTTAGCGTGACCAAAAACTTTATGCCTGAAATACCAGTTTTGAGCAGTCGAGTTAAAAAAATAATGATAAAATTTAAAAATGCCGAAATATGCCTGCATGGGGGATCTGGTGGGTCTTACATCACCCAGGGCATAGGGTTAAGTGCTGATAAATACTGTACCTACAGTATAGTGCTATTTACTCACTATAGCACTATTTGCTAAGTCCTGAAGACATGTTGTGAAAAGCATGAGAGATGGAGAGCACAGTTAACACAGTGGGGGATCAGATGTTTGAGCAATGACTCATCTGGGGTCAAGTGTGGCATTCTTTATTTTGGGGAAGTTGTTTATTTTATGATAACATTTTATCAATCCTGCACCAAATGAACCTAAATAATAAGTGGATTATGGTGAAATTTCATAAAGACATGTTAAACGAATCCTGGGGAGGTAGGCACCCACCCATGCTACCTACTGCTCCCAGATACACTCATATCTCCCACACACAATATACCCTACACTCTTATTTATTCCTATTTTTATCTTTAAAGAGTACTGTACTGTACAGTACAGTATACAGTTTTCTCTTTATTCATATGGAAAATTCTGTGGTGACTTACATATAACACTTTACAGTACGAAACAACCACAGCAGTGAAATCAGTTGCTGACAGCCAGGCATATTCTGATTTTTAACCCAGAGACTTCTCTCACATTTCTTTTATTGTTGATGTAATAGTGTTTCACTAACCTTGTTATGCGCTTAAAGACCTTAGCTGTTGAAGCAAAGTAATAACATTAGCTATAGCAACAACTGATTTTCTTGAAAAGCCCAGACAAGCAGTGTTAGGTCCAGAACCCTCACCCCCCAATAGATTAACTGTTTTGGACTTTCAAATTATCTGGACTGAAATCTGCCCCTATGAATCCGGTGTATCGAGGTACTTCTGTATAAAATGAATGACTGAGCAATCTCTTGGTGGAGATACATGGAGTAAGTTTTGCTTACCTTCATGTTAGGAGTTACCAATCCATCTGCTAAATCTTGTCGAGTGTCATTCATATTTTCATTTGTTTTCCTCTTGTTTTCATTATCTAGCGATTGCTGAAGAATACGTTCCTTGTCTTGCAAATTCGTAAACTCTTGTTTTGTCTTTAATAACTCATCTTGTAACTTTTTCAATGTATTTTTTAAATCACTAAGTTCCATTTCCTTAACTGCAACTGACTGACTGGTTTCTTGGGTATCAGAGGCAGAATTATGACTTGTAAGGCTATCTTGAGTATCTTTAACTGTTGTTCTTGAGGTAGAGATGAACCTTTCATCTGTGTCCATCACTGGAGTTCTCTCCTCAGCTGAACCTTCCCTTGATGCTAGAGGGGTGTTACACTCATCAAGCATTTCTCCTGTGATTTCATTATTACCACTGGGGATGCGAGGAGAAGGAGGAAGAATGAGGGGTGTGGTGGGAGAGGCCTGAGAGAACTGCAACCTCTCCTCAAGCCCTGCTATCCGTCTCTTTAGAGATTCGGCTTCCTGTACACTAAGGCTTGCTAATTCTTCAGCCTCACTTAGTTTTTCTGAAAGACAAAGTTGAAAAAAAAAATTAGTAGGCCATGAAAGCAAGCATTCCTGAACAGTCTTCCACCTCATTTAATCTCTGAGAGATGATTGATATTAGACTATTACAAGTGATTTTTGCCTTCACCAAAATTTTTCAAGTTAATCAGGGACTTCCTAAAAAAAAAAAAAAAAAAAGTCTTACTTCTAAGTAACTGAGTTTCCTCCTGAGCAGCCTGAACCTTCTGTTGCTCGTCCCTTAGTCTGAGTGTAAGGTTTGACAACTGTGTTTGGACCTCTTTAGAGGAGTCTTCAAGACGGCTCACTTGGCTCTGTAGTGATCCCACCGTCTTTACCTTTTCACTCATTAACGCTTCACTAGCCTGTATATGGAAACACAAGACAGTAGTATTATTACACTTAACACTGACAATGGCTAATTAAATAATTTATCTCCAGAAAAAAAAAACTGACCAGACAGTAAATCTTAAACTTAATGAAGTTACTTAGGCAGTAAGTAAGAACACACTGAATTTCTTATTCTCCTTCACTAAGTTAAACTATAGTAACAAATTCTGGCAACAGTTTTATGTTTTAAACCTCTTAGTTATATGTTAGCATCCTGTAACAGTATCCTAACATTTAAGTGCTCACTCACTCACTTCACAAGAAAAGGAACCCTTGAACAAATAAAGAAAAACTTGACAGGACCTAAACTTTTAAATTCCCTCATACATACCAAGCATTATTCAAATATAACCACTCCTTCCCTTATAAAATAACTTGAACAGCATTACAAAGACTTTTATCATCTGCTAATATCACAAATTTAATATTCACACTCTTCAAGTACCTCAAGCTGTACATTCACAATACCTAGACAACAATGTTAACAAAAAAATGTTAGCTTGCAAACTCATTTAAGTACAGTACTAACAGCTAGTTGCTGTCGAAGGTTAGATGCCTCATGTGATGCTGTGATGGCTGCTGTAGATGCCTGCGCCAAATCTTCCCGAATACGGGTCACTTCCTTTTCAGAAACCTCTTGTGCTCTTCGACTTGTTTCTAAAAGTTCTGAGGTAGAATCAACTTTCATTAGACAGTTCCTACACACATAGCAAATATAAGCTACTCAAAGTAGTGTGCAAATTTTTTAATTTTCAAAACAATGTTAATTTGAAATAGTGCAACTGAAACCTGCAATTTATAAAATAGAGCACAATACATGCAAGTTTTTAGTTATTTTTTAATAATATATATATATATATATATATATATATATATATATATATATATATATATATATATATATATATATATATATATATATATATATATATATATATATATATATATATATATATATATATATATATATATATATATATATATATATATATATATATATATATATATATATATATATTATTATATATCTTATTTGTATCACTTATATTACGTGTACATCAATTGTAAATCAAGAGACCCATTCCCCAATTATGTAATTGCATATTTTCCGGCTGCCATGCTCTTTCAATAAACCGTTAATTATTATTTTTATTATTATTATTATTATTATTATTATTATTATTATTATTATTATTATTATTATTATTATTATACACACACGTATATCATTATGTCTAAATCACATGTACGTTTGTATATTTTAAGCCACCGGCTGCAACTCTATTAATAAACCGTTTATTATTATTATTATTATTATTATTATTATTATTATTATTATTATTATTATTATTATTATTACACAATAACAGAGACTTAAATATTTGGACCCCTCAGTGCTATCCATTTACCTCTCCTGATCTTACTAAAATACATCCTATCTCACCTTTCTCCCAGATACAGTACTGTATAATATAAAATATTGTACACTAAGATTATATAGACTTAAAAGTTTTGCACGTCTTATACTCAGTCAATAAAGTAATCTCATCATTGCATAATTATTATTATTTTTTTTTTTTAGTTTTATTGGGCACCCCCCCTACAACCTGTGCAAGGTGAAACGCTTACAGCGCCCATCTGGGAAGCATGCTAAGTTCATGCTTGCCTTTATGTCTCATGAGTTAAGGGCGTAGAAGCCTGAAGGGTCATAGGTTTTTTTTGTCAAGGGCGTAGAAGCCTGAAGAATCATAGGTTTTTGTCAGTAATTTATTGGAAGCTCCAACAACTTTCCCTGAATACGAATTCACAACTTTTCGATTTACAACAGGTACCTACTTTACTGCTAGGTGAACAGGGATCAAGGGAGGCTAGGAAGTGTGTCCAAACAACTTTCCACCAGCCCGGGAATCGAACCCGTGACATCTCGCTTGCGAGGCAAGAGCGGTACCGCTCTACCACCGGTGCCCCCATCATTGCATAATGTTCCTGGGTCTGAGTGATATCATTGCATAATGTTCCTGGGTCTGAGTGATATTGTACACCAGCAATGGACCCAACAGTCACTTTGTAATGTACCCGGTACATGACAAAATGGCAAAATTATCATCACTGAGTAAAGTCGCATTTTATCATTCTTATTATCCTATACATCATCCATATACTTAAGGAAATGCTTAAATCTCCTCCATTCCATCCCTGCTATTTTCTATTCATATCGTATTCCCAAATATCAAGGAGAACAATATACTGATTTAATCTTTTCTCTTACCAAATATACAGCTCCTCCCCGACTTACGACTACCCGCACTTGTGACCTGCCTCAGTCGTACTAAAATTTTTTCAAATTACGTATTTTCGAGTCCCAACGTCAGTACAGACAAAATTTTCGTTGTAATTCACTTTAAAGTGGCTGGCAAGCTTAAAAGTGAGAGTTTTGTGGTGCTGAGAAGAAAAACAGACACCCATTTTAGATTTTTTATGTATTATTTAAGCATTTTCGACTTACGACCTGGATTTGGGTCCCTAACCCCGTCGTAAGTCGGGGAGGAGCTGTATATGCAACACTGTACAAACCTTGAAGTCTAAAGATGTCAGTACGTAATATAGACTCTTGAGCGACCTCCACTTCCTTCTCCTCATCCTTGTCCTCCAAGCTACCATTAACATTGGAGTCCTGTAAATGTAATAAAAAACAATCTTTATTTATAATATGTATGCAGCAATAGCAGCAGTATCTTTCAAAAAGTCAATCAGGTGGATTACTCAACCTAGGGACTCAAGCACATTGACTTAAGACTTGAGTAGAGTATGTGTCTCCCTATGGTCTGAATACTTGTGAATTAGCTGGATGTTTAAAACGAGCCAGTTGGGATTGGGTTATATTGTCAGTGGTGGCTCACAGGAGATCAATCCTACACTGCCTCCTCAATGTGGATTCTAACCCAGAACCAATGGTCCGTCAACTCATAACGATAACCACTCGGCAAATATACCAACGTGCCAACCTTCACAATACAGCAGGATCAATTAAGAAGAATCTAAACCTTAGCTATAACTTTTGCACTTAAAACATCTAGCTGTTCAGTTCAATCCCCCAGGTATCAGCCACCATCAATGTTTTACAGCCATTACATTTACAAGTGCCATCCTTTTCCCCCCAAAAAACTATTTCCTCGTGTTCTTTAATGCAAAAACTTTATCCACACATCCTCTGGAGCCACACTGCTCTTCCACTACTAATCTCAGGACCTATTGTAATTCTTTAAACAATGACTACAATACTGTATACCATATATACTTTACCTGGTATGCACAAATTATTTATCCCTATGATATTTACTTTGTTTTTATCACCTTTCCTTTCTATACACAGACTATACAAGCTCTCTGTCAATCAGTCTTAATACTTCAACAGTGACCCCACCCACTCCAGGTTCTTTACTATTCTTGAGTTTACTGTCACTCTCTCCTCCCTTTTTACTTTGACAGTTATGCAATCCAACGTGTACAAGAAAAAATAAGTCTGTCCTTCTAGGTGGAAACCAATGGAAATAAGCTTCTAATGACTTCCTTAGTCTATCCTCGATCAAACTGACTTGCCGTTCACCATTGAATATATGTGTACTGAGCCAATATGAAATTGTATGAATTTTTTACAGAACAAATATCTCTTTTCATATATGACATTTAGTAGCAGTTTTATTTTACATTTTTCTGAAATATATCCAATCGATTTCCCAATGCTATTTCTAATTGTTCTCTTAGGTGTTCTCACTATTCAGTCCCTCCAGATTTTTTTTTTTTTTTAATTTTGTGACAACCTATCATCTAAGTACCCATCTTCTTTCTCTTTTGCATTCTTTCACTTTTCTCTTTAGTTTTCTTCTAATCTCCCTGTACTCCTTCCTTATTTTGTTACTCCTTTCTCACATATGGTGTTCATGTGCCATCCACTTCCCATTAATGAATAAAGCCAACTTCTCATCCCACCATTCCCACTCCTTGTAAGGATGATTATAAGTTAACAAATACTGTACTGTACACACATTAGTAGGAATGGGAAAACTGCATTTATTTCAGTATAAGTGTTAATGGAGTTGCTACCTTGCACTCCTTTGGTGAGATGATAGTGAGGGAGCTGTCAGTCTTTGTGGGGATGATGGTAAGAGTGGTATCTGCATCATGGGAGTCATCTAGGTCATTGGATCTTTCTTCATCTTTGGTATCGTCTTCATTTAAATTGTCTTTGCTTTTCAGGGAATCCTGAAAAAGAACACCAATTTTAATATATAAATTACCACACCTATCTAACTGGTAAAAACAAGAGATTTTTTTTTTCAACTTAATCCCTGTATAGTAATGGTTAATGAGTACATACAAATGTTTTCATAAATGCAATAAAAAAAAGTATGGAACCACAATTTATGACCAAGGGAAAAAGACAAGTGACCTGTGAATACAGGTATATGTCAATTGCTTTTGGGCCTATCCTTGCAATTAAAAATTGTAAAGTAACAAATGAAAATTTCATAAATTCATTAAAGCCAAATTAAAGCCAAATCAATGATAACAAACACATACAATTTCAGTATTAATTCATCCTGACAGGATCATGGCAGGCATTTGGTGTCAACTAGTACATAAAATGTTAATAAAAGACAATGATGAGATTTCATAACAAGGGAACTGTTTGATTAGTGTATGTAGTTAATAAAGAAAAGCAGAAGAATCATATCCCCAATTGCTTAAGTACTGTGCAGTATGTGAAGGAATATTGCAATACAAAATAAACTAATCCATATCTCTTAAACTGTGGCAGACTATAGCTTGGGGCTGTCCTATCAACTTTTTTTATCCTTTCAAACCTTTTCATACAACACAAAGAAGAGAATCTAGAGAAAATGCACAAAAACACATATTTTCTCTTCATTTGCCGTTATTTATTCATTCTTACTCCCTTTCCATTACAAGGCTCCAAATATCTCTCCAGTTTATCCGGTCACTTCTTACAAACTACCATCACCCTTTCCCTAAAACTAACTGATACCATACCTTTTGCTCACTCACTCATACTGCTACTTCCCACATGTCCAGCCCTTCATTTCCAAAGCATCCTTCAATCTCTTGGCATTCTCTCTCCCTCTTAACATTCACCTTTGAATTAAACTCTCCATTTACCAACCTTTCATTTTCTATTCTCATATTAAGTTCACTCCATCAGGGGAAATCCTGTTCAGCTGTCTGTCAAATTTTTGGGTTCCACATCAGCTTATTTCTATAGTCTGAATTAACTGAATCTATTCACCCCACATACACTACAGTATTGTTTCTAAATAGTCCTTTCTGCCACTTCTAAAATGCTCCTTCTTGGATCCATAATCCGTGCATCACAATAATAATGCTGGCTCAACAACTTCCTTACACATCCCCATCCTTTGGTAAGGTTTCATTCTCCATACATTTTTCAATCCATTTATTACTTTTTCCATCACTCTGTGATTCACTATTAGTTATTCCACTCACTGACACATTCAATCCCATATACGTATTACAAGTGCCGCAATTCTTTCATTTCTATCTTAATTCAAATTAACATTGATTTCTCTCTCTTGTATCTATTCATTTGTTTTGTTCACATTCACTAATAACTTTCTCATAGCATGTACACACAAATACACACACAAAGGCACACTCCACAAAACCCATTCACTAACATTTGAAAACTGTCTTCAGAATGGTTAACCTGAGTAGCAACAACTACAAACAGCAGATGACTCATTTCCTAATTGTCCAACTTCTTTCCATTCTTCTTGCTTTCATTTCTCTTTCTACATGTTGAATTAAATATTCAACAACCATACCAACATAAAAATCCTCAATGGAATTCTATTCTTTTTGAGAAGCTTCATGACTGTAAGGCCAACAGAGTTTGAGAAGAATAAGATAAATACTACACTAAAATGCACTACAAGCAAAGGATAACCAAAAAACTTAACCAAGATCAGACGTTGTCAAATTGTAGACCACAGTGACCCACTTGATGTGGTGGCATAATATTCACCAAGATGCATGCTGATGTAGGAACAGATGGACAAGGATAACACTACATGCTCCTCCTACATTCATGGTGAGGCATAAAAAGAATTTACCTTCTTTTTCCTGACTAAAGTGTTGTCATCATAGATGTCGTCGTATATTACGGGAATCTCGGACACTACCTGGTAGTCTCTCAAACGATCCTCCAGGGTAGCTATCTGAGCTTGTAGGTGCTCCGTTAGTGCTGTGTTTGCTGCACTCTTGGCTTTGTTGTCTGCAAGCTCCTCTGTTGAGTATGCACAAAACACCCTCATCATATACCATTCATGGGCAAGTATAAGCATAATCATTAAATGTCCAACACCACTACAGATTATGTGAAAAAGAGTATAAATATAGAATCAGTTTAAGATTCATGCAATAACTATCATCTTCAAGTTCAAGCTATTCCATAAGAAAATATGCCAATTGTTAGGAAGCCCAAAATATTGCCACAAAGGTTCTTTTCATAAATTAAAGTACTGTGCAAAAAGGCAAGAATTAGAGCCAGGACCCATGCAGGTGATGTATTAACACCGGATATATGAAAATGTGCAATTACAGCTACAGTACCATGTACCTAAAGTGACTGTTGGCATACAGAAAGCCTTCAACTTACACATGATTACATATTTTAAAAGTCTGATGTATATAAAATTCACACAAACCGAACTTTAAACTGGGGATGCATTCCTCAGAAATAAGTCAAAACTCCACAATTTTCATTTTAGCAAAAAAATGAACACTTCTAGAGGTATTTAATGACAAAGAAAATTTATAAATTTCATTCACTACTGAATTGAACATACCTAACACAGTTACATAGATGATATGCATAAATAAATACTGTACTCGTAATATGTACTTCACAGGTGCTGTTCATTATTCCATATAAATTGATTTCAGTTGAATGCAAGAGAATGGGATTCTCTGGTGTACCAGCATGTGTCCTAGATATTGTTACATACCACTTAAGAAGTTCTGTAAAATCAAATGCCAGTGACTGTCAAAAAAGCCACCAACAAGAGAAAAGTAATTTGTGTTACTGTAAGGATATTTCTCCCTCAACTGAAGGTTTCAATCTTTAGGCCACACTTACTATAGAATATCTCTGAGTGACTTGTCAGCAAACTCTTCAATCTTCTCTTAAATTTCCTTTGATTTTCTGACTTCCAATTCTGTTCATCTGATAAAACAACATTCTACTTCCATTCATTCTTTAGCCTTAGAGAACAAGCCATAAGCTATTCCCTTCAAGTTAGCCATAGAAAACTTCTGGTATTAACTTGAGTGTGTAGGCAAGATTGTGTATGGCCCACTTGCCTTTAAATACAGATAAAAGCTATGACACAATACATTTTCAGGCATAAAAATATTCTCTATCAAGTCTCCTCACTTGTTTTCTCAATGCATTAAAATAAGTAAAATTATCCAGTGGACCTTGATTTGTATAAATTACTAAATAAATACTTAAAAGAAAAAACTTACCAGCACTTTAAAATTTCATACATGTAATTAAATTCCTTAATAAAGCAAGCATGTGATACCAACCTAAAAACCATTCTCAGACATGCAACAGAAATTAGGTGCTAAGTGAGAATATTGAGTCATGCAACAAAACACTAGTCATCAAATTACATAACAAACAGTAAGCTCTATTATTAGTACAGCAGTTCCATATATGCATGCAATACAAACAAGACAAAATATAAAGGGTGCTGAGGATTTCTGCAGTGCTTACTCTTTATTTAAAGAACAAATCAATCAAGTACCAAAGGGCTATGTTATAATATTGCAAACTTGATAGATAATATTCTTTATATTTATTTCTTAAACTTGAATGGGATATCTTTACTGTATATCCTGGTACCTTAACTGCCTAAACTGATGCTACAACTATACAGTATCTGAATAATCAACAAGATTGTAATGGAAGTAGGGAATTAAGTCTAAGAATTAACTTGTTGTGAAGGAAAAATCTGTAGTGAACAATTTCTTGCCATAGTAAAATAGGTCCATAATATGATTTTACAGAAGGCGGGATGAGATGAAAACTCACCCTGGAGGCGGGCGCGCGTGCTCAAGCATCCAGCCTCCGCACTGTCTGCCAGCTCAGCCTCATCTAAAGTAGACAGACAGCATCGTCCGTCAGCATTAGGATCAGTAGCCAGGGTGTTGTCATTCATTGTTACCACAAGCAACAGTTAAGATCACCGGGCATACTCACACATACAGTATTTGCAAATCACACAATATTATTAGGCCCTTGATCTTTCCACACTATAAATATACATGTTTTGGGTTATTTAAAATTATCAAAATACTGTACATGTACAGTACAATACTAGTTTTCCAAAGTCTAAAAATTTTGATAACTTCATCATTATATCTCCTCCTCTGAGATTAGATCCTGTAAATCCTATTACATGCCAGATAAATCCAGCAGAGAAATCTCAATGTACAGTACTGTACTGCACTGCACTGCTCTAGCTGCAAAAAATTTATAACATTACTAAACAGAAAAAAGTCATTTCAATTTCAGACCACAATTACAAATTTTGCAGGGGTCCCTCAATTAACGAACGGTTCGGTTAACGAATTACCTTCCATAAGAATCTTCAATTCGGTTAACGAACAAAAATTCGATTAACAAAACCCTTACGAACATCACGTTATGTTGTGAGCATCAGCTGATGGGCTAGTCTGCCAATTCAGTACTCTGTTCTATGTTTACATTCGTTTCCAGTGGAGTAAATATCAAGAAAGTTGTGCTCTTTAATATTTTTGCATTTTTTATATTAAAATTATAAAATTATTAGTCATTTTGACATTTATTTAACATATTGATAATATATGCAGTACAGGGAACTAGTTTTTTTGTGCGCCCATCAGACGCTTGACTCAGCCACAAGGCGTCAGTTGGGCTTTGTTGACAGTGGAGTGTTCTATTTTGTTGGCGTCTTGAATATTTTTGCATTTTTCATTGAAATTATTGGTCATTGTGAAACTTAGTTAATATATTAATAATATATAGCACAGGTCAGTGTTGATTTAAATAAAATAATCTTGAATTACACTTAGTGAACATAAAATTTTATTGGTGAAATGACGGCATCAAGCAAGGTTCCCTGAAAGGTGATTTCTCCCCCATCAACCACTTCCTTCTCTTCTCCCTTCTCCTCCACCCCCACTTCTAATTCCCATCATCAACCAGGAACCTTCTACATACACACCTCAAAGTAAGTGTACTTTACTGCATTTTTTTTTTTACTTTGTATGTACTTTTCAGTGAGCTGGAACCAATTACCCAATATCCCATTGAAACAATGGATTCGGTTAACGAAATTTTTGGTTAACGAACGACCCTCTGGAACGAATTGTGTTCGTTAACCGAGGGACCACTGCATTTATAAATAAACAACTGAAGGACAAAGTTTGGAAAACAGAAGTGAATTGAGGACCAAAGAGCAAAGAAAATACCATAAAAGGAAAAGAAAGTTCTTATCAGTGATGGTGAAGTTGGAGAAGGGAGCTCAAAATAACATCAATGTGAGCACAAGTGACAAAAGCTTCAAAAGAAGGTTGTCCAAAGTGTTGGAAGGTACTTTGCAGGATGGTAAGACAAAACATAAAGGATATACTGTAGACAACATCTGGATGGATGTGATACATGTGGGTGATGGTCAGGTACAACCCAGTATATAAAATTATATATACAATATTCACATACTGTACAACACAATCCAACTTCTGGAAGGGAAGATTTTATGGCCTTGGAAAACAGAAATGATTGTGCTGAATTATCAGGAACACTTAATGCACATAGTTTTGCATGTAATACAGTATGACATTTAAAAATAGCAAATTTTTGTACAATGAACTTAATAAAAAACGCAAATATATAATTCCTTCAACTGTGGAAAGATCAACGCTTCTTACTTATAAGGACTGTCATACATAAAATCATTAATGCATTTTCAGTCATGCAAATATTCACATTTGTCAGATATTAGTAACAAACCAGATAAGCCGAGACACATACTAGTAACTATAAGAATAAAAAGGTATAAGGAAAAATTTACAAAGTTCTTGAGTCAAATATTCCATCCAAATAAATTTTACATGACATTAACCAAAATTCTAAGGGAGGATACACAGACTACTAAAGGAGCTATTTTTAACTGGGTTCTACTCTACTCCAAATTTAAAAGTTACAACATTAATGGTCTGATATTTTGTCTTCATATAGTATAGAAAAAAAAGTATTCAAATTTATGTGAGGAGGAGGGGGAGAAGGGGGAACAAAGAGGTAGTGAGAGTGAATGGAATTGACTGATAACACCCTGTAGAATTTTCTGGGCTCTCAACACCTAAAAAATTTGTATTATCACAACACATGGAAAAATATGATGGGGAGGAGGGGCACTATTGCATACAAATGCTCATATATAAGGACATAAGGGTAAAAGGTATATGAAAGGGTCATAAGCAGCTATAATGGGTCTTAATGCTGAGTTGTCTCCATAGCTCTACAGTGTCCTGTGGAAAAAATCCATATGGTCTGGACACACACAGTTTGTGGTTTACCCTACCATGTTGGCAACATGGTCAAGTGTGATGCATATTCACAGACTACCTTGTCCATGAGGACAGTTCAAGATCCGATCTTTAACCATATACCCACAATAAAATGTAAGACCTTGAAAAGTGAGCAATGATATAAAAAATTTAAATTGATATTCTTAGGTTCAGTTAAGGTGACTAAAATCAATGAGAAAGACACTAGTTTCATTTGCCTCATATCCACCAGAGGGGATACCTGTGGGTTGAAGAGAATACTTAAATAGGGGATTTCAGATTAAACAATCAAGACTCAGGGGAACAGTCGCTATAACAAATTTCCTTCATCTAAAAGCAGTGATGATAAGTTTTAAGTTATAATTCCATAGTAAATTGTTATTTGGTATGGGCTTCAGAGTAATAAAAAATGGTGTCCTGACAATGATTATTAAGAGAAATAGGTAAGAGCAGTTTACTAATATTTGGGTCATTCAAGGGCTGCTTTGTAATATTCACATTCTATTTATCTCAACAAATTACTGCCTCTGAAAGTTTGATTCCACGCTGTTTCTACTTAATTGCTAATATATTTTGCAGATTTCTAATTACCTGACTTTCATTTCTATTTCCATCTTACCAATGAAACTTTCTTAATAAACATATTATAATGATGGGGGCTATTACTGTACAGTATCTGTACAACAACTACACACTGGACTACTGTAGGTCAGAATAAAATATGTTGAAGTCAACTAAACAATGTAAGCATGGAAAATAGCCATTAAAGAGTGATTATGGACCAATTCATTAACTATATTTTGTTGAAGTGGTCAGAGCATTATTTATATACACTGGAACCATAAAACAGTGATACCCAAATTAAAAAAAAATTGCATACTGTACAGTAGATATGTATGAAAATTGTTTGTTAGAAAATTCTATTCTATACTGTACAGTGATATCCCCATCAGTCGGAATAATTGGTGCAGAGCTCTTCTGAGAATGAGAAGATTTCAGGGTACAGGCAGTCCCGGGGTTACGAACGAGTTGCGTTCTTGGGACGTCCTTAAGTCGAAACACATGCTATGTGCATACCGTATTTACAGGACAATGTTTAAAATCCCACTATATTAGAGCCTAAGTCCTTATATACTGTACATCTAAAATTACTTAATTTAGGAGAAAAGAAGAAATAGAATAACAAGATACAGTAAATGAAAATAAAAATAAATAAGTCATTGTGTAAATAAAATACTGTAAATTTAACGTTTAATCTCATTCGCATCAGCGGATGCTCGTAAGTCGAACGTTCATAGCCTAGGGACTACCTGTATTAAGACGAATTTCTCATCCCCGGAATTTTTCCAGATATTGTACTGGATAAAGTTTTTCAAGCATCTAAACTACACATATCGCACGGACAGACACTTGTACATCCCCATAATATTTCTGGGCACTGAGGAAAGTTTTCCGGAAATCTACAGTACACATCGGTGCTGGGAAAATTTTACGAGAGTCTGAACTAAGCATCTCGCATGGACAAACACTCTCCCATTATGTTTTGGCCGCAGTCACGAGCAAAAATATTTACAGCTACCAAAAGAGTGTAAAAACTTTTAATCACAACATCTATTCTAATTGTTTGAGAGATGAATTTGGTACCATAATGATCCCGTATAATTCTCGACAAGATAATTCATTAAACGATCCTTAAACAAATTATTTCAACACAGTATAATGAAGGCGAAACGTGAACATTTTAGAGCATGTTGCAATCTCTCAGAACTCCCGAAAAATTTGTTCCCATGCCCAGAACAGTAAGATTTTCTCAGATTTTTTCCCCAAAAATGTGCAAGATTTTCATCTTCAGAAGCTCGTTCCCATGCCTGGAATGGAGAGTTGTCCTGGAAATTCTTCCAGCTCAAAATCAATTTCAGCTATAGGAGAGTTCCAAGGACCGGGTATACCGGCTAACGGGGAGATTACTGTACTGAGATAAAAAATCCAAACAGCCTATAAATGGAGGATTATGTTAACGTTTCTCAGTTAAGTGGGGACAAAAATATGACTGAAAGATATAAAACGGTAAAAAATATTAATAACAACTGTGATCAACACACCGCTGCTGGGATTAACCGGTTCCACACCAATAGAATCTTGTGAGCTGTGAGCTGCTGAATCTCTCAATGAGCACTAAAATAAAAGTAGAAGTCTTGAATGTCTTATGGATGGCATTAACATTAGATGCACCTTAAGAGGGGCAGGAACCTAAGAAAGCTGTTACATGTGTTGTTGGAAATGGTACATATCCCAACTAGAAAAAGTGTTCTTGGTTTAGCAACACATCCAACAAGAACCTGTCTTAACATATTTTCACATCCAAGCTGAAAAGAATCTACCAATCTTTAGAAAGTCTTGGGAGCAGAAACCACAACTATGTGTCAACACCACCATTCCTATACTGTGTCACCCAAATTTTCACTTACGAGGAAAAAAAATATCAATAATTACTATAAGACGCTTCCAAGTAATACAGGAGAAGGGGTGTAACTGTCAACTGTACGAGGGTACAGTCGGCCATAAGGAATAAGTATACACACTGTAGCTGTAAGGTTCGAAAATGGTCTGGTAACGTTGAAACTGCGCATCCAGACACATGATGATACTCAGCTCCCCCCACCTGTTATCTCTAACTATTTTCTGTTTCCCCTTCTTTATTCTTCTATTTACTCCTCTTCCATATTCATAGGAAAGTTGATCCAATCCAACCCCTACTGTAATGTAAACTCATTCATGAGGTCTCATTAAATAAAATAATGCTTAATGCACATAGATAAATGATCTCTGTACTACACCTGCAGTCTATTACTAAATATTCCACTATTCAAAATAATCCTTCTTCTACTGGTAATGAACTTTAGATTTTCTCAGGTTTCCTGACAGGGCAACATAAGTTTTCAAAATATATGCAATACAATACAGTAGTGCATATATTTTTAGTTTTTTAAGCTGAAACAGCAAATCATAAAGTTGACAATATACCCTTTACAATTCAGTTCCAAATGGATGACACAAACTAAATTTTGGCAAAGGAAATACTACCAGGTATAGAGACATGCTTGTTTTTACTGAAACTGAGAAAAATATGGACTATTAAAGTTCTACATTAAACTACATCTTTAAGTGATAGAAAAAGAAAATCCAAAAATTAATCAAAACAAACACACATCCTCACTCAGAGGCACTACAAATCATTAATAAATAAATCTTACACATGCCATTATAGTTAACTCTGAGTAACTTATTGTACTGTACTCCGTCATAAACACTTACGTTTGAGCTGAGAAACATTGGCCTCAGCTTGCCTGAGTTCATCCTGAGCATTTTGAAGACGATCCTTTAGTGTGTGGATCTCCCTCTGTGTTGTTTCTAGGGCTTGTTTTATATCTGACGGTTCTATACTTAACAAATCCAAACCTGTGGGCATTATGGTTCTTCAGTATTACTGTATTGAGATCAATGTATTAAATATGTGGAGATAAGAGACACACTCCAAAATGGTATGAGTATTTCATGTAAAGTATACTGATTCAAAGTATTCAAATAATAACATCTTACAAACAGATAAAGGGTCACTGATTTGGTTGGAGATTACGTCAAGTCAATAACTTTAATTTTGGATGAGAAGATGAATCGAGCTATTCTTTAAATTCATTATATTTTCCGACTTATGATGCTTAACTGTGTACTTTCCCCTTTACTACTCTACATGATTTGTTTTCCTTCTTTTCACTTCCAGACACACCCATGTAACTCTCTTCAGGGCAAGCTAAATCACCACATTACCTGTAAACAACAATTCCTGCACTACTCCACAATGTGCTTCTCCACTATAGAGATTCTTTACTACTTCAGTACAAACAGAGATGAACTTCGATGCTGACCCCTGCTACTTGGTACAGTCCAACTATGAATTCTTCTATGATTCCAAGTCCTGTTTTAACCATTGTCTGAGCTACTACATACACTACTTCTACTATTTGGTTAACTTTCTCAGGTGCTCCCATTTTGGTACCCTATAACAGGCCTTTTCTACATTTATAAAAAGGAGGGTCTTGTGATGGTGACATTCTTTACAGGGGTCCATCTAAGCCCCACCATCCTTCACCCAATTTAGTACTGGAAAGCCATATTTTCAGAACCAGTCCCCCAATTCTACCAACGCTTTCAGGAAGTTGAAAGTACTGAAATTCAAACACATTTTCACAAGCTTTGAAAGATACCCAGTAACATAAAATTTAAAATCTTTCCAGAATTTCCTTTTCTCTTGATTTAATTGTGTTCTCCTTTCCATCAGTGTTTAAAATGATCAACTGATAGGATAATTATTGGTTAAGGATTTTAATTACCCAAACATCACAATGAACAGTGACACATAGAATTATAAAATATGTCTTTCTTCAGCTTAGTTTTTGTTATCCCCGTGTAAAAACACTTTCCATATAGCAAGTATTATTATTAAAATACTACAAAACTATATAACAATCTTGGTTCATATTAGCTGCACTCTGCATTTCAACATGTTTTATGTATGATTACAGCACAGTACTGTACTGTATGTACACTGAAACAAGGCTTAACATACCTCACAACTTTCAATATTGTCTATGCTGGCTACTATATCTACACACTACAGCATGCCCTGACAATTTGCGGATTTTTAATTCGTGGACCTTGATTATTCGCGGATGGCATCCTGGATGTACCCAAGATTGTCTAACGGTAGTTTTCAAGTTGCTGGCATTTTTGCAGCCAGAACAGGGAGCCATTCGTTTTAGAGACAGTATTTTTTTTTTTTTACCTGGTGTGTGTGTGTGTGTGTGTGTGTGTGTGTGTGTGTGTGTGCACATACACAGGTATACTATACAGTATATATTTAATACTGTACAGCACTATGTGTCAAGGTAAAGTGAGTGAGGGTAAAAAAATTATGATCCTGATCTATTACCAAATTAATCCAGTTAACTAAACAAAGAGAATGCATGTTGTACTATGATGACAGCCATACAGGATTTACATAAAAAGAAATAATTAAATTTATATATGACAACATTCATTCAGATATCACAGGGAATTAGAATCACGGTTTCAGATAATGGCTTATTAATATAAACCATTAAAAACCTTTGGTTACTGTAATTTCACTTTCCAATAGAACAAACTGCACTATAACCATAAAACTTGATGACATATACAGTATACCTTGTGAATCTTTCAGGGGTTTTATAAGTCCACTTATTTCACCATTTTTAATGTTCTCATATTTAGCTTTCATGGCACTTAGTTGCTCTTTGGTGAAGTCACTTTCTGCTGTTATACTTTCTATTCTAGCCATCAATTTGTTTTCTTCACTAGATTTTTCTGATAATTTACTTTGCAATTCTTTTTTCTCTTGTTCATTGTTTTCCTCTGCATCCTTCAGCTGATCCTCAACACTCTGTAAATATAATCAACATCCAATTATTGATCATGCTGCAGTTGGCACTACCTCAGACATGACATTGTGTAGTAGGCAATGGGTGGTATGAACAAAGATACATCCAGGGCTGTTGGGCTCTTTTATTACAATTTTGGACACCCAAATCCAGATGCCCCCCTCTCAAATACACATATATGCATAAAATGAATCCGATAACTACAATATTTTTTCAGGGAAATGAACCCCCCTCCCCCCAATCTCTCAGACAAGGCTGGGCCTAATCAAGATCCTACTGACATGATAAGGTTTTCAATCTTATGATAAATCTCTCAAAAGATCCCTGGATGAGTCCCTGGTGATACATTACAATGCCATGACTAAAGATCAATTCTAAGTGAAACAGACAATGTTATTCATCTTGCTGTGTCTCAGATGAACAACCAGAATAACAGACCTAAACTACAGTACTACAGAACAATACTCTTATTTACTATGTCCTATGAACCTTGTAGTATGCATCATTCCTCTATAAATATAAATGACTCAAAACACTAAATGAAAAACCTAACCAAAGTTAACTTGAGATCACTGGTTATCATTTTTCTATGATAGTTACAGTAAGATAACTTAAAGCAAGTTTACGTCACCTTTAGTTTTTCCGTGAGCTGTGCAACTTGTTCATTTTGAGCAGACTGCTTCTCCAATAATTCAACAAGCTCTTTTTGAGTAGTCTCACAAACTTCTTTCATGTGTGCTAACTCATCTTCTGATGTGCTTAAAGTTCTGGAAAAATAGTATTATAAACTTATGCTCAATCCAATTCCAGAATATCTGGAAATGAGCAAATTATAACAGAATATAATGTGTAGCAAAAGCAAAAAACAATATTACTGTACCTACTGCTCAAAGGAGGTACAACCCTTACCTTTCTAAATCTGCTAGTTTTGTGACAGCATCTAATTTCTCTTGTAACACTCGTCTTAAGGACTCTTTGGCAGTGGTTTCATACTGACCCTTCTCGTCCAGTAATCTTCGCATCTCTTCTCGAACACTGTCTTCTGGGTAATTCTGCAGTGTAAGAGATAACACTGTAATATTAGCAAGCATTTATTCTTACCCAAGTTTTAACCAACTCATGCAGGATGTCATCAAAGTATCCTAAGCCAAAATTTAACAAAATCATTGTAATAATGTAGCTATGTACAACAGGGGGGCCCAAACCCAATAGCTGTGTACTGCACTAACAGCATCACAGAATATCAATCAATAACATCACAATAGTCTCTAGTCATCCTTGTTATACAGAAGTATTACTTTTCTTCCCTGGTCCACTTTGTTAACCATAACACTTTTCCAACAGTATTTTCTTTAAAATCTTCCCAGAAAAAGTAATTTCAAATTTTAAAAATACAAAACAAATGCTGAGAATTCTTATGAAATGATATAAACTTTTAATGATCTTCCAGTATTCTCAACACATCCATCACACTAAGGCAACAATGGTATGTGATGCATCAATACACAACATAACCTAAATTCTCTAATTAGAGTAACAGTATAAGTCATGCTCAATTAAAGAGACTGATAACCTAGACAGGATATGAACCTCCCCCTCCCTTATACTCAACACAGCCCCACTATGATGATTGTACGAGATACTAAAACACTTCTTTGTCAACTGGTTTACCTTGGCATAAGTAGTAAGTTGACCTTCAAGAGTTTCTAGTCGTTGAAGTAATCGATCTTCATCAATCATTGCTTTCCAGCTATGTGTAGCTGCTTCCTGTTGAAGACAACCCCCACAAGAAATAATAATACACATTAGAATGAGAGGTGAAAATTGGGAGAGTAACACAACATAACCTGGCCATTTTCTTATTCTGACACAGTATTTTGTCAGGGCACTACTACTTAAAAGAATGGGGGAGAGATGGAGCATGCATTATGAAAAGAGGGGTAGGAGGTTTAAGTCAAAGAAGCTAATAATGCTACAGAACACCTGCCCTAACAGCCAAGGTTATGGGCATCAGTCCTAATGTGCCCAAATCTAATCAAAAGGATTGTGGTTCACTGAGATTTAAGCCCATTAGAATTCAAGCCCTATAATACCTAGAGTCATATTAGATTTGTCTCATTTAATAAGTTGAGGCCTATTTGGACAGGGGCCCATTGGATATATCACCAGAGAAAGTCTATCCCTCATGACTGTCTATAAACAAATTCACCATTTATATACACCGAGAAACATGGATACTGAGTGACCCTTTTTACTAGAGTAATAAAAATGGAGATGACAAATCTTATAAATCATTGTATATCTCCTAAAATTAATTATACTGTATAGCTACAGTACTAAATTGCCCAACATTTCACTTTCACATCAGTTCTTGCAGGAAAATACACACACTGTACCATACATATTTAGACAAACAGATAATATGAGAACAAAAATTTTAACAAAGACTCCCAAATACACAACCTTGCTCTCCATACACTGAAGGTTATTAAAAAAAAATAACTAAATTTCAAAGATGACTCTGAAGGAAAAACTAAGAACATTAAACATGAAAAAACACCAGAAGACTTTACATCCACTCCCTAAGTGATCATAAACAATACAGCATAGACAAAGAATACCCCACAAACACACATACAAATCTTCCCACCTGAGTAGATGAAACCAGACGTTGTAAAGTTGCCAATTTCGTTTCAATTTGTTGCTCCCGGTGCTGAGCTTCTTGTAGGTACGTCCGTAACTGATATAATTCCTGAGCAGACACACTGGACACGGCTCCACCCACTGCTGTTGATGGGCTGCAAAAAAAATTCTTATCAATGGAAATCACAACTTGAAGGTTATAACAAGGACCTTAAACACTTTAGGGGCCCCATGAGGCACATGCCACCACCACCACCCATGGTGGGCAGAGCATGCTCAGCTGACGAGAATCGTGGCAAAGATGTTTGCATTTCTTTTCTTTTGTTTCCGACATTATTTTCCATCATATTTATTTATTTTTAATGTGTATTTCTTCACAAATGATTATTCTACAATACTATTATAAAACAAAGTTAAATCTAACACCAACATCCAAAAATACAAGTCAATATTGTGAAGGAACGGGTAGCGTCTGTGCGCTGTAAATTCTGTGACACACTGATGCTTGCAGGCTCACAAGGAAATTATCCCGACACCTCACATCCACCACAGTTGTGTGGTGAGAATGAGAAGACAATGGCATGTATTTTGAGACTTGAACCATGAAAATCAAGCAATAAATAGATTTTTTATGAGTTTTGAATTCAATGACGATGTTTATGTCATCGGAACACTAAAAGAGTTTTTTAGTTTATGAAATATTTGTCATCAGACAACGAAATATTAATATTCAGTATAAAATAACAGACCAATACATACTACAAATATTTGTGTCAGCTAAAATACTAAAAAATCCCAACAGGCACTACTCAATACTGATGGCTTAAATGATGTGTCCTTATTAGAAAATAAACTATCAAAATGCTCAATTATCAGATTAAACCACAACACCTTGGACTGGATATAAAAATCACTAAGGCTCTATGAACAGCTAAACACTGCTAAGAACAAATCACAATTTAATATGATCATCCCCCCCCCCTCACAGTTAGAATTTTCATGTTAAAAGGAGTCTGCTTAAGGGAGAGATCACTGTATATACCAACTTACAACTACAAAACCACATTCTTACCTAGCTTTTGCTTCTTGACCATCTGGCATATAAAGCTTCAGTGTTGCAACTATACAGCCATGTGTCACTGAAAAGACAATAATAAAGTACAGGTACTGTATTTAAAAGCAGCAAGGCACATTTTAACAGATGCCATCATCAAAGACTAGAAATCAATCATTCAACTTACATCTAATGTAACATGAATGGGCATGTTACTTTGCAACAAGAGAAATGCTCTAAAAATACCTTAAAATGCCTCTTTAAAATTATTCATCAGCATCAACCAGTTCCAAAACTAAAACTTTGGTGTTTCATGAACTACAAAATTAAATCATCACCTTTTTTGGAATTCTCCATGACATCGACGCCAAACTGTACAATATCCCCCGAACAGACCTCCCTAGGTGCCGACTCTTCAGACCCCTTGCTAAGGCGCTGGTTGTTGACGAAGGTGCCATTGCTACTCTTGGTATCTTGCAGGTAGAACTGGAGATTCAAGACGAAATTAGTTTCTCAAGCTGATAAAACTTCACTGACAATATTTCAAATATGAATTACATTCAAACAAGGGAGAAAAAAATTGCCAATAAAATTGGTTGTCCCCCATTGTCATGTGGCCAAAAGTCCAAGTACAGTATATAGCTTCAACTTGGAAAAGAAAAGACAAAAACACTGAATCCTTGTGAAGTATAGTACAGTATATCGAGATACAATAATCGATCATAATCCAAGACTACTTGTGTTCATAATTCCCAGATGCACATGCAGAAACCCTGCAATCCTAAGTCGTCCTCCTTGGACAGTGAAGGATTGTGAGCCAGAAGTGCACTAACTGTATTGCCACAGCCCATAAGCCACATACTGTACCTGTACAGTACATGACCATTATATGACATATGAAAATAAAAATTCTAAGGCACCAAATTCAATGTTCATTTAAAAACAATTTACAGTACTGTACAGTACTGTACTTTGGTTTTGTATTGAAAACACTGTGTGCCTCAAAACTGACACAGATGTTTGTCATTTGCAGCCCAATAATCATATCATATAAGTTTTGTTTTATATTTCACATACGTACTGTAATGTACATCGTCACAGAAAAAGAACTTGCTTTACTGGAAAAGGATTTAATGGGAGTTTTCAGCTTGTATCCACAAAGCAACGAATATTACTTCATGGACCTATTTATATTTAGGGTCAAAGAAGATTATCATATGACAAATATCATGAACATAAATTGACCCATCACATCCCCAGGCCATGAAAAAGCTATGTCTCATTTAGCTCAAAACCTTGAGTGATAACTTTTGCTTACCAATCCCTTCTTAACAAGGACTAAGGTCGCAACAAGAAAGTAAAGAATTGTTTGATTAGTGCTAGCCATTAATGTTGGAATTATTGTGGGTTGCAATATATAGAATTGATGGGTTCAATATGTAAATCTTCTTGCATTGATCCAAGGTTACAATTTTTTTTTAATAAAATGAAGCAAAATCTGCCATTTAGCTGGCTCTTCTGTTTTGACTTTGAATTTTGACACAAAAACCTGAATTTACAGTTCTGCACTCAGTCTAATGTTGATAAAATTTGACCTGAAATTTCATTAAAATATCATAATAGATTTAAAGTTAACCTCTGGCCAAGGTTTAAACTTCCTGTGGCCTTGACTTGTATCACAAAGCTTCAAAAATTATGCTGTACACTTTACCTATGGCAGTGATGATAAATACTTTACTCACTCAAAGTACCAACACAAAGACTGCATCAATACTGTACTTTAGTTATTATCTGAACAATACTTTCCTTTTGAACCATCACCATTGACCTTAACCTTTGATACATATACTATTTCACTTTGTTGTTTTTCAGGTGATATTCAATACTAACAATATGTTCCATTAAAATATCAGCATTGATGAAAATGCCACACTCCCAAGTTTTGACCTTTGACATTCCTGCAAACTAGAACTTTGACATAATGTTTTTAACTTAGTAACTTTTACCAAGTGATGACGCATATCCCCTTAAGTCATTAACATATCTCATTACTGTAGATACAAGAGTTATACTTTAAACAAACTTTCAGTGGTGACCTTGATGTTTCTTATGCCAAACACCCAGCCAATATGATATCAGTACAAGATTATTTGATTTTCCTTAAAGCACGAAATTAACTTAGGGGAAATTGTAGAATTAGTTTGTCATATAAAAATATCTGTTTACAGTATACAGTACTGTATAACAAGAGTTAAGCTCTGCACAGTTTTGAACTTTAGCTGTGACCTTGCTGTATATCAGTGATACAAGGCAAGCATGAACTCCACATGCTTCCCAGATGGGCGCTGTAAACACTTCTGCGCTTCACCTTGCACAGGATGTAAGGGGGTGCCCAATAAACTAGCCACCTTGGGGGCAATCTAAATCTAAAACCCATAAAATATGCTCATCTGTACAGTACATGATGCTTACACAATAACCCATTTTGAAGTCAATCCAGTTGAAATTGCAGGAAGGCATAAGTACAAGGTTCTACAATATATGCCCCTACTATGGGAATTAAAATATCAAACATTAAGCTCATTATGCAACCACCATTAAGTTTATCATGCAGGGAGTTATTTATATTATCTTATGTCATAATACAATTTGGAAGGGAAAAAAATTTTGAAGTAAAAGGAGAAAATCCTTATTAAAAATAAATAAATAAATACTGTAATAAATATGTCCTGGGTGAAACAGCAAAGAGGTTAAATTAGGAATCTTCCTTATACTGTACTGTGAAATATCATGGACATTTTCTGAAAAAAGAAGAAGCTAAACATACATCTCCCCCCCCCAGCACAACCTTTGTTCCTAAGAATGTGTTGCCCAGAACCACTAGAGTGTCCCATATGATCAGAGCTACTACAGCAGAGTTGCTTGCAGCCACTCCACTGTTAAGAGAAGCAAAGTACTGTACAGTATACCCACCCCAGCAAGGATTGAAGAGTTTACAACACCAGACATTCAATCTCCAGGAAATAACCTTAACCTTGGCAATGAGTGTGTGCCTTTTGGATCCAGCTCTATGCTTATATCTGTACAGTAAAACTGAAAACCTCTTCTCCAAACTCTACCACAAAGACCATTCAAACTATCACTACAGTACAGCTGTGTTAGCTGTCTGATGGTGCAAACTAATTGTATTCAGAGAAAGTTTAAGATTTAAGCCAAATGCCAGGTTTCACCATGACACCCAAGGAACTGATGTAAGGCATAAAAACTGTACACTACTACAATGACAAAAGTCTTACCTTTCCATTTTCATACCACAGGAGGGCATGGTTCCTGGAAAGTACTTTGCAGTCAAAGATGGCATTGTTGGTAGCAGGTCGTGCACGAGCCACAGATCGTCCAATTTTCACTGGCTGGTCGAGGACCAACGTTCTCTCCTGAGGACAAAACATCAAACATATTATTAGAGGTAATTCGTGCAAAACAAAATTTATCAAAAGTACTGTTAGGAAAATATGAATTAATAAATTTAAAATGACACCAGTAAAATTATTACAAACTGTTCAAAACTACAGGTACAAGTCTTCAAGGAAAAAATAAATAAGCCTAAATAAATTTATATAAAAAACCCCGTCCCCATCACAATAACAGTTAAGTGAATTCAACTGTTTCAATATACAGTACAGTGGATTAACTGATATATTCAAAGCAACAATAACCTTTCTGTTAATAAAGAATGTATGCAGCTCAACCTAATGAGTGACATTATCATCTATGGTCTATTATTTGCTTGCAGGTAAGTTCCCGAGGCCAATACTGTACTAAGTTCTTCGCCATTACTACTTGTTTATTGCCAAAACACAACACAGTGCAATATACACGAATATAAAAGAGCATTTCTAGCCATTAACACACACTCTCCAGTAAGAGGATGAATTATCTTCTGGGAGTTTTGACGAATACGTCACAGAGTGGTTGAGTTCAACACACCTATGTGGCACCTTGGAAAGGGGTCATCAGAGACATCATTCACTGCGTTGGGAAGTCAGGTTTCATTATACTTCATTCTCTCAGAGTCATCCTTCTCCATTCCCACACATACATTCCCAATCTCACGCATAGCTCTACACAACGGCCTCAATCACAGTGGCTAATAACTACTCAGATCAAAGCTTGACTGATTCTGACTATGCTTAATCCTTGCCCATGATAATCAATCTTTGAATAGAATACAGTACTATACTTCTATGCAAGATTTTTATGGGGGAAATGGCAAAGTACACAGTATGATCTTCAAGAAGTCGATCATACAAGCTGGTGTTTTCATATAGTAGTAATAGTGTAGACTAGGATGGCACAGTAGTGTATCATGCCCAAAGAAATACATCATAATAACAAACTTTCAGGGGGTAAACAATATTCTGAATATTCTTGAAGTACTGCAGGAAAATGGTAAACATACACACGGTTAATTTGGGTATTGTGGCAAGCAGAGATGGGGCCAATTCATTTTTGTCAATTAAATTCATTTCTAATTCAAAATCAAATTTGAATTATTCAATTCCAATTCAATTCAATTCACAAGCTTTTTCGATTCCAATTCAATTCAATTCATTATGATCGATATTTCATTCCATTCAATTCAAATGCTTTTCAATTGAAAATCAATTCTAATCTACCATTAATCTAATGGAGATAAATAAAAACTCGAGGTTTCAAATTAAGTTCTTTATTTTTTATCAAAAATGCTCTACCACACAAACCAATCACATTCTTTACCGACCAAAAGTTCAAATGGGTTAATTCTTTGTATTAGTTAACAAAATATGAATGAGTCCAAGTTACTGAGGATTGCATCTGATCATCATAAGTTGCTCAAATCTTTTATCGCTTAAATTGCACCTCTCTGGCCTGAAGAGCTTGCCAGCGATGGAGAACAGTCGTTCCACAGGAGCCGATGTAGCAGGAATGGCCAGGTACTTTGCTGCAAGCCTGGTGAGGACAGTAAACTCAGGTTGCTTGGCCTTCCAGTAGCCAAGGGATCACCATCTTCCTGTAGACATGGCTGGTTGAGGTAGAGTGAGACCTTAGTGATGGAGTTGGTCTTGGTGTAGAAGACCGGTTGGCCAAGGCAGAGAACTTGTTCCTCTTCATCGGTGGTGGTTCAGCAGGGGAAGTGTCTGTTGTTGTAGGATCAACACTGCCTGCCATATTGTATTTCACAGTCAGAAGGTCACGAATGTCTTGCACTTCATTGTCGTAGTCATGACAGTATAATATATTATGTTATCAATTCACATCAATTCATTACATCAATTCATATCAATTCATTGACATCAATTCCAATTCAGTTCAATCAATTTTAATTTTGTATTTTTTCAATTCCAATTCAATTCCAATTCATGGATTTTTGTAATCAATTCCAATTCAATTCATAATTGACCCCTTGTCTGGGCAGATACACGAGAACACACGGCAGGTTATTTAAAGTAATTAAGAAATAAGTCCACATATCTCCTACAGCTCTTCTCTATATATTTATATCTGTTGCTAAGAATTCAACTGAGAGAGGAAAAGTGAACAAACATGAGAGCCATTCAGAATCCTCTCTGTAAAGAACGATACTGTAGTAGTATTTTTCTTCTCTCTATCGAACCTCCTAAAAATACCTTCAACTTCACCACCTTGAGCAGTGGCCGTTCTCTCTGAAATTACTTGGCAAACAATAAGTTTCAACACAAAAATTACCAGTCGAGCAACTCTTTCTTGATTAAATCTAACCCACTTCCTCTCCAACAGGACAACAAAAACCAACTTAAGTGCTGGGTGAAGAAACACCAGATATTTCATTACCACGTCTTCAGTGCCAGAATGCATGACATGTTTTTGTCTTACCATTTACAGTGAGACCTGGTGAAAAACGAACAGGAAAGAGAAATGGAAAAGGTGGAAGTGGTTAAGAGTGGGAGAGGGGTATATGAGAGAAGGATGAGGATAAAGGTGGGGAGAGTAAAAGAGCAAGATTGAAAGAGGGGAAGGAGATAGGCAGGCTGACTTCATATACAGTATATCAAGAGGGAGGAAGTATCTGCCAACCAGCATCTTCCTGTTTGTCTCCACAGAGCTGCTGGCTATTACAGGAACTCCCTGGTTGGTCCTTCATGCCAATATAAAGAGCTTCAGTCCCTCCTTTGATCTTCCTCTACTCAGAGTGACGGAACAGACGTGGAGAGGTTCCAAGCTTCCCTGCTCTTAGATTACTCACTTGGCTAAATGGATCCTGTTCATTACCTCTACGTATTACAACTTTCCCGGGATGGCTTTTCCTAGACTACTGAGTAAACACTGAAGACATGGATGAATTGTGCTGTGGACAAAATAACCGCGGAGTAGGGAGGTTGCGAGTGGAACTGGAGATATATATTGAACGAGGGTCGAGATGTAGAGAAAGGAGGTAGAAAGGGGGTAAAGGGAGTGAAATGTGTGGAAATAATTGACAGAAAACGAAGAGTAAATAGTAAGGGTCAGAGACGCAGGCGTTGAAAGCAATGTAAGGGAGCATGAAGGAGGACTTTCAACTAGTAGTCCTGGTTAGTACCGTACCTTTCCCCCAGCAGCAGGGCGAGGGGGAAGGACACGCGACACCGGTATCACATTACACACACACCACCAACCCCTACATCAAACACGCGCACAAAGCCAACACCATAATAAAGCCCCACGCGCCCACTCTTCCCCCCCCCCCAAGGTATCACCACCACCCACATCCTCCTCAACGACACGCACAATCATAATCCATTGGTAACAATATAACTTGAACAATACAGCTCTGGTAACTAAATCTCAGTGACAACAATAACGCAAAAGTGTTAATAACGCTTGCCAAATACAACCGTGTTCCCCATAACGATCTCTTGGTCACAAGAAACTCCATCATAAAATTAAATGTCAAAGACGGTTTACTAACCAATGAGTAAGTGGGCGAATGGGTGGGGAGGCATGGTCAAGAACAACCTTAAGTACGATATAACTGTACTGTACTTGTCGCTTTAACAAGGTGGGATAAAATCGTCGGTAAACAATCTCTAACCTTTGACATTCTACGCACTACGATACAGTATATTATATTGACAACACCTACATCAAATTCCATACAATAAACACCAGAACCAAATGAAAACCTAAAGTTCAAATAAAATTCTACCTACGACCAGAGGCATTTCCAGCTGGCAAAGTGCCATACAAATCTTTAAGGTCGTGAAGGCCGCCACTGATGAATCCCTCACTACAAGGGTCCTAGTGCAGCTGATGGCCGCCAGGGGGGGTTCACGTGCCATGATAAACAAACAACATTAACTGATCCCCACACCAACATTCCTCCACACACACTCCAGAGGAACGTGCTCGCTGCCTTACACACCAACGCTCTTGTTTCATCATTCAACATTGCTCTTCTAATTAGCAATTGGGCCTTCCCTCACCATAATTATCTTCTTACTTTGCATAACACTCATCCTCTATCTGCACCTATTACCATAAAACCGTCGTAAACATTGATTAGTATTGGTGTGTTAATATTAATGAAATCTGCAGGTACAATATTTGGGAAGAATAAATAAAATAAATATTAATAGTATTCCTTGGGCTTCGAAATAGCTAAATACTGTATATTCAATTATTCAAAACTGCAATGCTTGGTTTGATCCATTACAATCGACAATACTATTCGCACCTTTTAACCGACCAGTCTCTCTCTCTCTCTCTACCGTGTTACTGGGTACAGCTAACGTTATGTAAACAAGGCGTGATAAATGTAAACACGCCGCCTAGGGGGTGGGACCAGTGCTCAGGTGCAGCCTTCCACGTGGCACAACGAGTATACAGTATAGTGTCTGCCTGAGATACCGACATGCTAGGTAGGTGTGGTAGTCATCAGGTGTAATAGTCATCAGGTGTGGTAGTCATCAGGTGTGGTAGTCATCAGGTGTACTAGTCATCAGGTGTAGTAGTCATCAGGTGTACTAGTCATCAGGTGTGGTAGTCGTCAGGTGATATAGTCATCAGGTGTGGTAGTCATCAGGTGTGGTAGTCATCAGGTGTGGTAGTCATCAGGTGTGGTAGTCATCAGGTGTAATAGTCATCAGGTGTGGTAGTCATCAGGTGATATAGTCATCAGGTGTGGTAGTCATCAGGTGTGGTAGTCATCAGGTGTGGTAGTCATCAGGTGTGGGTGTAGTAGTCATCAGGTGTGGTAGTCATCAGGTGTGGTAGTCAACAGGTGTGGTAGTCATGTGGTAGTCATCAGGTGTATAGTCATCAGGTGTATAGTCATCAGGTGTGGTAGTCATCAGGTGTGGTAGTCATCAGTAGTCATCAGGTGTGGTAGTCATCAGGTCATCAGGTGTGGTAGTCATCAGGTGTCATCAGGTGTAGTCAT